GCAACACAGATAAACGCCCGCCTACTTCTCATCCGATAATAAGCGAAAAACAAACAGATAGTTAACTAACTGGAGGGAGCGCCGTAACGTATACAGGCTCTAACCTCTTTCGCTGTTCTCAGGTTCAGACCCGAGGGGTCTCTTACCTTATGGGGGAGATAGTTTCTATCATAAAAAAACAACTATGTGTCATATGACAGTCACTCCCGGGTCTCAGTACTTGAAACTCACAAAAATCAGAGGGCCGAGATGATCAGAGCGAGGCAAAAGCGTTACGGTACCGCTCGCTTTCGCGTAACGCTTGGATGGGATGGCGCCGTTCGAGGACACTCGGGCGTTCCAGAGGGGAGGCAGGCGGGAGGCGAAGCGCCTACAAGGACGTCCCGTCCCATCCCACAGGCTGAGGGGCACCGAGGGAGCGAGGAGGCCAAGGGGTGGTGTCGTGTCGTTCTCGTCCCCCTCTTCGCAAGAAGGGGCTGCTCGAACGAACGGTGCGACGCCTGTCGTGAGAAGAATACTGCGGGAGAGCCGGGCGTACAAAGCCACTCTCGGCAACGGCTTCAGCTTGCATTCTCCGATGGTTGCCCAAGCGCTTGCCAACCTGGGAGCCACGGAGGACCAGATCCAGGGGCAGTTTGAGTTTGCCATCCTCAAGAACGAGAGGTACAAGCTCCTGCCTATCGAGAAGGATGCCGGAGGCGTCCAGATAAACGAGGACAATTGGAGGGAGCACTGCACCAGCACGGCAGAGGGGGAGATGGCGTTTCGGTTGTTTTGGACCGAACAGATACGAGGCCGCGGAGCTCACCAAGCCATCCGTCGATGCCTTTCGGGTTAGTTCCTGGGGTTCCCTTTGCCCTTGTCTTGCCTTGTCTGCCCGCGCGCACTGACCTTGTGCTCCCTTGCATTCTCTCTCACACACACGCACACACTCTTCCCCAGAGCTAAGCGATGGCGTCCACTCGCGCCTCCATCACGGAGTGATACGATTGGCGTACGCGGTTCAGGGAGGCCAAGAGGAGGAGATCGCCGCAGCACTGGCGGCCTTTTGTGTGAATTACAACCCTCTGCCAGCTCTGGAAGGGCACCCTGCCCCCGCGCCTGTCCATGCGGAGGACACGGATGGGATGGACCTGTTTGCCGAGGTTGCGTCGCTGCTGGATGATGACCCTGCTGGACGACGTCCCGAGGGCGTAGGCAAGGCTTGGCAAAGAATGATGAAGGACCCCGAGGTGCTCTCTCGGGTGCCGTGTGTCATAGGCCTGTCCTCCGGTGATGGACTGAACTGGCTCGTGAGGCACGCCGTCTACCTCTACTTGACAAGGCCGAACATTTTCACTCTGCACATGGTTACTGGTCTCCACGCGTTGGTCGTGCTGAAACAGTACTACGACGAAGAAGACTTCGAGACGGCCTTGGAATGCCACTGGATGTCCGTCGCCTGCGTCTTTTTGGCGGTAAAGGCCCCAGAGATCATCTCACTGGCCCGTGCCCGAGCAAAGTACCCCATTCAATCGTGGGATGCCCTCATTGATCTGGTCACCTCGACCGTTCACGGCGACCACGAGATCAAAGCTGTCGACACCGCTCTCGACATGAGCAAGAGGTTTCCGATGCTGAGCGAAGAATTTGAGCTGGCGGGAAGCATCGTCAAGCGCTTCAGGAACTAAGACACCAAAACCAAAACACCATTGTATTACCACGACAACCGCCACTTTATTTTGCCAGATGCATCCCGCGCGCGCCCGAAAACCCGCGTTGTGTCGGTCAAACCCCTTCCACAAGAAGATGAATTTCAAACGCCAAGGTCTCGGGGAACGACACGATTCCCAAAAGCAAACCCGCCCTCTTCCTCCCTCCACATTGATTGCCCGGCGGTGTTTTTGTTGTCTTGGCCACCCACACCAGTCCATCGCCTTTGTGTGCTCCACCCAGATTGTCCCAAGGTGACAAAGGAAGGTGCTCGGAGAAGACGAGACGATAGAACCGGCATCAGCGGTCTCAACTTCGGCATGGGGGCACGAAATAGATCGATCCTTGGGTCTTGGTGGTCTTGGTTTTTCAGTTTTGTCTTGATTTTTCCTTCAGCAGAACAGTTTTTTCCCTGGTTCGTCATGAAATGCAGCGAGGAAGGATGCAAGATTTTGACAGGTGCGACCAAAAAATACATAAAGCCGACACACAAAGTTTAGCACGCATCAAACCCAAACTGCATCCGTTGCCTCGGTTTTGTTTGCCAAATAATTTCACTCCCAAAGATGTCCTAGTGTGACAGGGAAAATGATAGATGGTTTCTGGCAACGCATTGGTTTTGGTTTGGAACGGCGAACCACGAACAGAGAGGACTCGACTGGACCACAAACGCTCCCCTTGGCCGCCCATTTCCTTCGAACGGGCGTTGGTGGTCTCCAGTGAAGACCACCATCCCAAAACTTTCCCCACAAATTTGCCTGATGTGATGTTCTCGAGCATCTGTGCGATTATCGAGTCGATTGCACGA